ATTCTAACTTGGTGTGAATTTAGGAAAAAAAATCAAAAAAAAAAAAAAAGCCATGTTCTGAGTAAATGGCACAAAACCTAATACACAGTCTTAAACTTCTGCACAGAGCAATGCCATTAGGAACATCTAACCCAATTGAGCAGATCATATTATCTGAATTGATAAGATTCAGGAGGAAAACKCAAAGCCAAGAATTTTCTTTAGTTAAATGCGATTTGGCAGTTCACACCCCACCCACCTTTTAGAGCAGCATTTCAGAAAGCAAGTYAGACAGTGCAGCTTGGTGGAGGGAAAAAATGTGCATGAGGAAAGTGTACGGACAGGATGGGGCAAGACAGGGGAGCACCTGGAAACACTGCCAGCTAYTGAAACTTTATGAACAAGGAGATCCTGCTATCCTTCTACAGGCTGAACATTTATGGCAGGAGGATCATGATTAAAACTGCTGAAGAAATGGGGTCAAAATTAGTTACTTCTCTTTTTATCTCATTCTGTGATATTATTCAAAGCTAAGAAAGGTGGAGTAACCTACTACAGGGGGTAGGCTGGATTCTGCAGCATTTATACACATGGAGACAAGGAGGGAGGTTCAAGCAATGTGAACGAGAGCTGCAGAAGTTGGTAAAAAATGACCTGGTAAAAATTCCCTGGGGAAAAAAGAACTTGGTGACTGTGAGGTTTTGTAGGTTTGTGTGGTTACAACAGTGCAGTGCTTGTAGCAASAGACTTGTTCACCTCTAAGCATTTTCCTGTGAGTGTTCCCAGCAGCAGTGACTCTGAGTCCGTGTGCCAGCTGTAGGATAAAAATGTTGGGCTGCTGCTGGACTCTGGCTCTGCAGAATCTGAAGAGCGCACACTGATTTCTTCAGTTTACATCTTACTACCTCTAACAATCCTTGCTCCCATTCTATCAGTGATCATGACGTTTTAAAAAACATGTTGCTGACAGATGTTGTTTGCTGTCAAACTGCTGGAAAAGAGCAGATCTGTAGGTCTTGGCTTCCTCACAGTACAATCACTCTTACTTTAAATACTGCATATTTAATACATCTCCATGGAAAGCTTTCCCCATGTCATTTTAGGTACAGCAATTCTGCTCAAGTTTGCTACGTGGTAGCAAAGCAAAAGCAAAGGCTGTGGAGTAGACTAAAGAAGCAATTGTATCCTCTTTTCCCCCTCCCATGCTCTCCCTTCCGAGGTCTTTGATATGTTTAGACAGACAGCTGTTTCCTTCGAAGGGTGCACGTCCCTTTACACCAGGGGCACTTGCATGCAAAGACTATCTCAAACTTCCAAACARTCCTTGGAATGCCAGGCTCTGGGCGGCTTTCGGAAGTGCTTACTATGCATAGGTTCCAGGCAGATCATTTGACACGCTCTGGGGATATTTATACCTGCTCTGAGCATAGGCACTCTCTGTGTGGTTGTACGAATACATAACCACAAGTAGAGGTTCAGAAGCTAAACAATTGCTTACCTAGAGAAGGATTTCTCTTCCTAGCGTGCRGCAAAAAGACATCTGCTACTCAAACCTCTTCGGAGAGCTCCAGGTAAACTAGGGAGAGTTTTCTACAGCCAGCAGCTGTCTGAGCAGCATCCCAGGCAGGCTCCTCTTGCTCCAGCCCCAGTCAGCGAACTCTGCCGGCACAGTCACATCTCATTTATAGGCAGCCTGTCCTTTTCARAGCGAGCAGCCAGCTGGAATGATTCAAACCTCTGCTCAGCACACCGTTCCAAACGCGGCTTCCTTCTTGGACACGGGGATTACGCCGGGGAGCCGGCAGGCTCCGGCAGGAAGGCTGCGAGAACTGTTTAATGGTCCGAAGAGCAGCTGCTGGCGGTCCTGCTGCCGGCGCTGCGCTCCCGTGTGCCGGAATCAGCCTCCTTCTCCCGCCGATCTCCAGGAGTAGCGAGGCGGCTTCGCAGGGCTGTGATTGGCAGAAGCGGCCGATTCCTCCCGCTAATCAGCCCGCAGACTTTCAAGGTCTCGGAGCTGCTCTGATGTCATTCCAGCCGTGGGGTGGGGAATGCTTCGTGCGAGGACGACACGGTGGAGGCAAATTCGGAGCGGAGCTGCGTTCTTCTCCTATCGCCCGGATTGATTAGATGCTCCGCCAGGATTTGCATAATCTGTCATTGTGCGCCTGGACCACCTCCCCTCCTGCCCGCCCAAAATGCGGGAGGGAGTGCCACTAYCAGCTCCTGATTTTACACCTGGAGTCTGCAGCACAAAGCCTAGGAGAAAGGAAAAGTTGAAAGATTAATTTTTTTCTGACAGGGRGATGCTTGTGCCCCCAGCTTCCCCCATCACTCCTTAGTATATCCAGATGCTAAAGGAGGCTCAACAAAATCACAGTACTKGAAGACTTTCTGCTTCCTCCTCCTGCTAGGTCACTGATAAGATCACCAGGTACAATAAAAGGTGGGRTTTAGTGCATGACCAAAATCAAGCAGGGGTCACCCAGCAAGTTTGTCACAAATTATCTCCCTGGCACCAGCAGATATTCGGTGCCCAGAGGTGAAAAGTATTTTCTTGCTGTATGTGCCACAAGTTCCACCTATTTGTTGCATAATTTCTTATTAAAATCCTTTATTTTATCCAGCTAGAGATGAAACCTACTTCCATAGCCAAGAAACATGATTGCTATGTGAGTTTAAATTACATTACAGAGGCAAAACTAAACACTTTCTATATTAAAAGAATTAGATTTTATTCCAATCTAATTTTCAATTTTTGCCAGCTTGACATCTTTCACTCCAAACCCATTCTTCGTACAATACACCTTGGAATTGAAATTCAGCCAATTCGGTGCAGCAAATGTGAGGAGAAAATAGTTTTGTTCAAGGAGACTGGAACAAACCCATTCTGAGATGATGAATGACGCTGTAAACTCAGATTTGAATCATAGGAGGGTCAGCTCAACCTTTCGTGTTTCCAAAACACTGTAAATAAATGGTGTTCCATGCAGTTCACCATTYACATCCTTCAGCTGGGACCTTCTGCATGAAGAGCTTTTTGCTCTCTGTGAATATCCAAGCTTCAAAGATGGTARAGATTCCTAACTGGGGACTAATTGATTCCTTCTGGCTAAATTAGAAACTGAGGGAATATTAAAATTCAAAGTATGTCTGAGTGATTTCCTGCAATTTCTAATTACAAAGCACTTGATGGGAGATGTTTTAAAAATGCCTTGTACCTATGGCTGCCTCTGGATTTGGGATTTATTTTCTACAGATTGTTGTGAATATTGGGTGTGGTGATCCCACTGCAACTGGGTGGTGAGCAGGTGCCTCCTGGCATCCTGTGTGAACATCAGAGCTTCAGTCAGGCTGTAAACTAAAACAGCCAAAGTGAGTTAGTCTTTTCCCAGCACAAGGAAAACTTCTGGTGCACTCTATCCAAAAGCTGCTAGACTTTCCTATTGCTAATCTGCTGGTGTGAAAAGAAAAGGTCCAGTTACTTGTTGCTCTTTGTATGGCTGTCCTTGGCTCCTGACTGCTCTTGGAGCACTGGAGAGGCCCCTGTGAGCAGGAGGGTTTGGCTGCAGGGCAGCTGTGCTCCTCCAGATGTGGTGGGAGCAGCGCTCTGCCCCTTGGAAGCCACCACCACAGATGTTCCTGGGTGGGCCAGCGGCCAAGTGGTCGCACAAACTGTTGAGAGTGTGTTTTAATTCAGATGCTGAAGTCACTCTTTGAACTGAAATGCTTGGCTTAAGCCCTACCACGCTGGATGAATTCAACATGAAGGAGCAGGGCTGTGCATTCACRCTGCCTCTGTAGCTGTTTGCTCTGCTGCTGATTCATTTTAAGTGCAGGATCAGAATAACTGTGCCAGGGTCTGCCCTCATGAGAAACATGTGGGAATCAGTTGGCAGAATTGCTCCAACTCTGTGCAGCAGAAAGAGCACACCAACCCTTGGGAAAAAAGTGCAGTTTGAATTTTCACTTCCCTCTCCTTTGGGTAGTAGAGAGAATTGAACTCTTCCAGCTCGGTCACGAATGCACTCGAGTTACCTAGAATGTCCTTCTGATCATGATATAATTCCCATGCTCTGCTTTAGGGAAAAATAGGCAAGAAAGAAACAGCAAGAAACAGAAATTAGGTATGGATGGAGAGAAACAGGAAAAGAAGATAAATTCTAATAATAAAATACTGTATTAATGAGGCAGCACACTTATGCTGAAATCCTTGCCATAGGATATATATTTTTCTGGCTCYTACCTGCAGCACAGATTTTGCATTRGCTGGTGAAAATTCTGTACCTGTTAATCCTCCTGGGGTTTATTTCTTCCCCTTTAYAGGCAGGCTATCTTAACAGCTCAAAACCTATAGATGAAACCTGCCAGTACTTGGCCCAAAACTTTGCTGAAAGTTGAYTTTCTCATTTAATAATTGTGGGTTTGATGATAGTTGGATTTTTTTGGGTTTTAGTGGGKTTTTTTTTCAGGTGGTTGTTTGTTGTTGTCGCTTTGTTGGTTTTGTGAATGGAAGTGTTGCTGTGTTCTGTCCAACCTTTCTTGCAGCTCACACACGTATCACTTCAATGTCTGTACACATTTTTAAAGTTTTCATCTTCATATCATGAGATGCAGAAAACACAATTACTGCTGTTCTGTGGTTAGAAAAATAGAATCCTAGAATCCTTTAGGTTGGAGAAGACCTTTAAGATTATGAAGTCTGACTTTTAACCCAGCACTTCCAAGCCTACCACTAAACTATGCTCCTAAATATAGGAGCAAGCAAATCCTTTTGGAAATGAATGTGTAAATACATGGTATCTCCCAGGTTTATTTTTTAGACTATCTGAAAGCTTTCACTGGCACATCTGGATTGATGTTCAGCTGTTCCTGTGCTGAGCTCCTGTTGTGTCTGGCTGCCCCCAGTGTCCCCGCTCTGATGATGCTGGAACAGGCATTCACTCCTTCTCCTCTCAAAAACCCTCTCACAGCACCAGGGCCACACTTCAAAATAGACTGCAATACATAGAGCCATTTCTTTCAGCTGAAGACACATTTATGATCATTGCYGAAAGAAAGATGGCTTTTGACACTGAAGTTCATAATGAGTTTAAAAGAACTGAAAATGRCTATTCCTGGAAGAGCCAACTTTTTCTTGAGCTGTGGACATTCCTTATGAACCTCCCTGTAATTAAACATCTGTGTGTCTTATTAGACACRGAGAGCAGTTCCTCAGATGGTGTAAATTGTCAAAACACCCATTGATTTCAGAGGAACTATGACAACTTACAAGAGTTATAGATTAGTCTTAATTCTCCAGCAGCTCATTGAGATATGCAGAACTAATTRCACTCACATCAAAAGTGCAAGAAACATAAAGGCAGTCCAGAATGTGGTTTGGGTTTTTTGAGTATTCATATATTTCATTAAGAAAAACCTATTTTGTTTTCTTGATGTCTCAATGGGTTGTTAGGGTTTTTAATCTGAATATTTTGGCTCTGGTTCAAAATGTGTTAGAGGTTTTATGGAATCTGAAATGTAGGGATGAAATATAGATACACTTGGAGCTCTGTTTCATGCATCACAACTCAGTTAAGGCATTCATGTCTTCTGCTGGAAGTGCCTGCCTTGTCATGGGTTGTTCTTATTTCCAAAATGTCAGGGGAGAACATGCTGTGAGTGGTCCACTTAAGCATGAAGGGTTGATTTGTAACAACATCAACAGCAAAAATGCTGCTCAGTCCTCAAGTAAAATTAAATAACAAAAGTAAAAAAAGAGCTACATTCCCTGACTGCTGACTTTCTCCAGCTATACAGTCTCTTTTTCTGCTTCTATTTTCATCCCCTCTTTATGTCTGGACACACTGGTAYAGATGATAAAGGCAAATCAGTGCATACCAGTTTGGTAATGACCTTTATCTTGTRCTTTTATTCCTTTGTAAGATAACTTTGATATCCTACTGTGGCTTTGTTCCTGCAAGGCTTTGGATGTATTAGCTTCAGAGAGTGCACTGATAGAAACTAATGTGGAAATATCTGTTAAACCAACATATATTCATTTACATCTAGCATTAGAGCTGCTCCACATATCTCTAATTACATTACTGTTTTATGTCTTAAGTGCTTACTCAACTATAAAAATATAAACTGAGTCTTAAGTACTGTTACTGAGATACCATCAAAGCAAAAAATGAGTTTGTGCTTAATCCACAGCCCTTTGTCACCACTTCATGTGTGACACTGAGACAAGGATTTGTCATGTGAGAGACATGTTTATGTGTCCATAAAGCCTTCGGGGGTCTGTCCCACACCTTTCCTTACAGAATTCTTCCCAGGTCCTGCTTTGGCCTGAAGTAGCAGAAAGCTCATGGGAAGTAAATGGGGGTAGGACTGGAGCTTAGGGGAGAGCTTTTTCCCAGGCCACTCTTCAGTGTAGCAGGAGTGACTGAAGCAGTAGAGAAGGTTCAAGCTCTGTTCAGCCTCCCTGTGATTTGTTGTTTGCCCCTCTAACATGTTACAATGTATGGGACCTGTGTCCCCTTTGGTCTGTTTTCATGATGACTCTCCTTGTGACCTCCTTGCTGATGACCAAGTCAGTCTAGTTTTGCAAATCCTTGCAGAAACAAGACTAAAAGTGGGTGCAGGTCCCATTCATCTGACTGCCTCACTCTGAAAAGCTGGCTGCTGCCTCCACTGCATTGCAAATTGTCACAAACCTAGATCTAGGAACTTTGGCTGTGCCCCCCTTTCCCCTTTCTGTGAARGCATAAAGAATCATTTGCTGTAGTTCTTTCTCCTGTGTGACTCACAAAGGCTGTGCTTTGTCAGAGACCGTCTCAGGGTTCCTCTGCTCCCCAGTACTGCAGACAGAAATGTTGTCACCTTGTTGTGTATCTGCTCCCAGTCTGAGTTCAGGCTGGGCAAGGAGTGATGTCAATGGTAACACCTTTCGTACAGCACTGCTTCACTGCCCCTGGAGGAATTCCAGGACTGGCTACTGCTCTACTCTGCCCTGCAGGAACTTCAGCAGCTCCTGATGGCCTCCAGCCAACCCACCCCCAAAATGCTGACTGMTGATGTCCATAAAACAATTATCTCTGTGTAACACCAGCCTTTGGCATG